TGATATAGGCATGCAATCACATCAGGGTAGATGGGGCATCCTCAAGACATTTTGTTAGTATTTTTTTTATTTCTTTATTGTGCTATGTTCCAGAAGCAGGTCTCGAATCCTGGGTTCAAGCTGTCCTCCTGCTTCTGCCTTCCTAAGAGCTGGGATTACAGGCATGAGCCACTGTGCCCAGCATCATGACATATTTTAAAAGGTTACTCTGGCATTCATGCTGAGGACGGGTTAGACAGGGAAGGGATAAAGACAGGGGCTATGGCAGCTTTTCAGGAGAGAGGTGGATTTAACAGATACTTAGGAGGAGAAAGCAACACTTTGACAATTGAAGAGCAGGGAGTGAACCAAGGAGCAGGCACTGAGTTCTGTTTGGAACACGTGCTCATTAGTCATCCAGGGAAGATGCCCAGGAGGAAGCTGGAGCTCTATGCCTGAAGTTCTGGAGAGGGGAGAAATCTGGGAATATGGATACAGAAATTATCCAGGAACAGAGGGCATTTGAAGCCAAGAGAGCGGATGAGGGACCACCAGGAAAAGTCCTAAGTAGACAGATCCCCATTGTTAAAGGTTACCTTGCATGAAGGATGCCTATTGGGCTTTAAATGAATTTCATTTTTCTAGATTAGGGTCTATGGAAGCTTGAGATGTTTCAAGAGATCTGGAGATCCCTGAAATTTTAATTAAAACTTTAAATGTTGTATTTTGATGGGATACAGACTATAGCTTTCACCAGATTCTTAAAGGGATCTGGGCCAAACACACACACACACACACACACACACACACACACACACGCACGCACACACACAAAAACCCAGGGTTAAAAAGGGTTAAAAGGGTTATGACCCTTTGTGTTTCACTAAGTATTTTTTGTGTCCTATAACACTTAATACTTGAATGGAATTAAAGAGAGGATTTGGTTCAAGCTTGAAAATAATCTTGATGTAACCATTTTGGTCTCACCGGATTTTTGTAAAAACAATCCAGGTTCCATCAGTGTTTGAGAGATAAGGGAAGGAGGGAGAGAATATTACTGAGTTCAGGATTTGGTTAGAAATGTTTTGTATTTCTATTCCATTCAGAACAAATCCTCACAAAAGAATTCTGCATATTATATTTATTATGTTTGACCATATCACAAAAGAAGAGAATTGGAATTGTGTATATGGCTTTAAATGATTATCTCTGTCCTTCTGAGTGAGATATCTATTCCAGGAATTTCTGAAAGTCACCATCCATTCAGATCACTGTCCCACCACCAGGATTATGCACTCTCTGGTTTTGTTTCATATTTGGAACCTGAACTAAGTTTCTTACTTGACTATGATAGCATAGAACCAAGTCTTTCTTCATAATAACTGTCTCTATATGAGAGAGCTTTCACTGAAGGTTATACTCTTAGTAGAATCTAAGCACGGTATAAAAATTGCCAATTCTTTTGTGTATCAAAGAACACTATAAAAAAAAGTGAATGACAACTCATGGAACAGGAGCAAATATTTTCAAATCACATGTCTGGGAATGAGCCAGTATCCTGAATGTATAAAGAACTCTTACAGCTCAACAATAAAAAGACAAATAATGCAACTAAAATAAGGGCAAAGGAGTTAAATAGACATTTCTCCAAAGAAGATATACAAATGAGCAATAAGCACATGAAAAGATGCTCAAAATCACTAATGATTAAGGAAATGCAAATCAAAACCACAATGAAATACCTCTTCACACCCCAGGATGACTAGAATTTTTTTGAAACAGAAAACCACAGTGTTGGCAAGGAATTCATACCTTCACACATGACTCGTGGAAATGAAAAATGGTGCAACCACTATGGAAAACAGTTTGGCAGTTCCTCAAAAACTTAAAGAAACAGTTACCATATGACCCAGAAATTCTGTTTTTAGTTATATACCCAAGAGAATTAAAAACATGTTCACACAGCAAAACTGTACACAAATATTAACAGTGGCATTGTTTGTAACAGCCAAAAAACAGAGACAGCCCAAATGTCCACTAACTGATTGATAAACTTTAAAATGTGATATATCCATACAGGGGAATATTCAGCTGTAAAAAGGAATGAAGTATTGATACGTGCTATCACATAGTTGAACTTTGAAAACATGCTAAGAGAAAAAAAAAAAAACAGACAAAAAAAGCCACATATTGTATGATTCTATTTATATTAAATTTCCAAAATAGACAAACCCATAGAGAGAGAACATAGATTAGTGGTTGTCAGCAAATGGGGAGAAACAGGAAATGGGAGACGTGAGATTTCTTCTTGGGGTGATAGAAGGTTCTGGAATTAAACAGTGGTGCTGGTTGCACAGCACTGTGAATGTACTCAAAACCACTGGACTGTATACTTTTAAATGGTTAAAATGGTGAATTGTATGTCATATGAATTTTATCTCAATAAAAATGCAAACAAATTAACTTTAGCTCTACCCAAGAAAAAGACTATCATAGAATCCACAAAGTCTAAACAATTCTTTTGGCCTTGTCTTTGCAAAAGTCAAATACTTTCACATAGGACGAGAATTATATGTCATTTTGAGATCAGTAATATTTATTCTATGCCAGTGAAAAACTCAGGCACTATGAAAATCCCACTTAAGTAAATAACTAAAGAAGTAGAGGAAATACTCACATGCATTTGCTTTGTGAATATATTTATAAAATTTGGGAGAAAGAAAATGACAAGGCATTCTACTGTAATAGAAGCATCTTAACATTTACAGGAGTATCCTCAAATTATCAAATTTAAAACTCTTTGAAAGTGCGGGTGGAAAATAAAATGGAACAAAAATCCAAACTGCCAACTCTCTTTTCCCTGCCTCTGTATCTTCTGGAAATGAAGCTAAGCTTTGGTCATGGAGGCACTTGGAAATCTTTTGAATGTCACTCTCTTTTGGACTGAAATTATGTACACTTCGGTTTGGAATACTGAACATAGCCAACTTCCACCATGCACGAGGTTCCTGTTTGACCCCCAAGAAGGCTGATTTTATTTATGTTTGTCTTCACATAAGAAAGCAGGGCCAGGAGCGGTGGCTCACACCTGTAATCCCAGCACTTTGGAAGGCTAAGGCAGGCGGATCACTTGAGGTCTGGAGTTCAAGACCAGCCTAGCCAACATGGCAAAACTTCATTTTTACTAAAAATACAAAAATGAGCCGAGCTTGATGGCGTGTGCCTATAGTACCAGCTACTCGGAAGCCTGAGGCAAGGAGAATCGCTTGAACCCAGGAGGCAAAGGTTGCAGTAAGCCAAGATCATGCCATTGGACTCCAGCACTCTAGCCTGGGTGACAGAGGGAGACTTCATCTCAAAAAATAATAATAATTTAAAAAGGGCAGGGAAGGAGCCTGCCCAAGAGAAAGGAAGGCTCCAACTTTTTTAAGGGAGGTTGGTAATAGTGTTAAGTATTGTAATGAAAAATGTTCCTGACACAGCAAGATTGATAGCCATGATGGGGTTAAAAAATACTGTTAGAGTTTTTTTCAAAGCAACTCTCAGTAGCCTTGTATATGGCCATCTCCCCTATTAACTCTTGAATGGCTCTGCTCCTCAACATCTGTCTGATTGTGGCCAAACCACAGAAGCTCTCCAAGTGACAGGCAGGACCAGCTACATAATTTGTAGGGTCCAATAAAAAATGAATGTCACACTCCTTGTTCAAAAATTATTCACGGTCACATATGGTGGCTCACACCTGTAACCCCAGCACTTTGAGAGTCCGTGGCGGGCAGGTCACCTGGTCAGGAGTTCGAGACCAACCTGGGCAACATGGCAAAACCCTGTCTCTACCAAAAAATACAAAAATTAGCTGGGCATGGTGGCAAATGCCTGTAGTCCTAGATATTTGGGAGGCTGAGGCATGACAATCCCTTGAGCCCAGGAGGCAGAGGTTGCAATAAGCTAAGATCTCACCATTGCTCTCCAGCCTGAAGGACAGAGTGAGACCTTGTCTAAAAAAAAAAAAAAAAATTATTCATTGTTTCAAGAAGACAACACCAAAACAAATCTAGCAGCTGCAACGTGTCACATGCTCATAGTTTGCTGGAAAGAGTTCGATCAAACAAATCCTCCCAGCTCTGGCTCCCGACTCTACCATCTACTTACTGTGATAAGGGGCAAGTCATTTAACCTTTCAGAGCCTCACTTCCCTCACCTGAAATTTGAGGCTAAGGATCCCCATCTCTCTCATGGCTGCCAGAATTTATTTTTTGAAGTCTCAAGCTTGCGTGTGATTGTTTGTGTTTTTAATTTTTCTATGGAAAAGGGGGTGCCACACATCTAGCACAAGGTGTGAGTGTCAGGAAAGCCATTTGGTGAATTAAATATGGGTCCTGCAAAGCTCAAGGAAGGGGGCCGGAGGAGTTGCTCCTGCTCTCATCTTTAGCCTGATACTCTTTGCCTCGGTCTGTTTTTATTAGCTCGTCTCCTCAGTACATCAGTGGCAAGGGTGATGAAACTGGTGGCAGATTTAACTGCCAGGCAGCTGGGTCACTGTCCCGTGGGTCTTGTTGTCACGCTCCAATCTTAAAGTGACCATGCTGCTTGGGCCGCTGCCTTCCAGAAGGCTCAGAGAGAGACCACTGAATAGTTAATCGGTGGAAAAGGGAAGAAGGGGGCTGTTGCTTGCAGAAAATACAGAGAAGCTGCTTTGAAAAATCCCAAGGTGGCTGAATATCAAGAACGCGGTTCCTGCTGTGGGCAGCTGTATGTGCAGTGGGCAGCCCAAGGGCTTAAAATCAAATCTCCAGCACCGGTTGGCACCTCTCCCCATAGGGCTTTGGCAATGGGGACAGAAAGCTTAAACACTACAAGATGAAGAAACCCTCAGTGCTAGTGGCTGAGGGTCATCGTTTACCATTATCTTCTGTATTGTTAGCAGTAGCAGTGAATAATAATTTTTAAAGAAAAAGAGTGAGAAGGAGAGAGAAAACAGGATGACTTATTTAACAGGAAAAATCTGCAGGGCCCCTTACCTGAAACCGTCTCATGTCCCTTGGGTTTCCTGCTGTTTTCAAACAATTCTGATTGCACTTGAGGAAAAATTTTAAAAAGAATCTGTGAAGAGAAAACAATGCATTACATTTTTCAGTAAATATCTTTTAAGAGAGACTATAGCTGCATTCGACTAGATTTGATTTGAAAGCGATTATATTTCAGATCTGGGGAATTTCAACCTGCCCTGTCTGTGAAGGGACATTGCTGACCCTCTGCAATTTGCAAATTTGGATGTTTTCAATCTCAAGCCCAGCGCCCACTTCCCCATCACTGTGGGGGATTGTTAAGTGGTTCACAAGCTGGGCTTTGGTTTGTACATCGGCCCGCAGAGTTTCTAGAGCATTCGTTTTGGGGGGGGAGGACAAAAAGGCTTCAAATGCAGCAGTGACCCCTGCTGTACAGAAAATCTTGCTCCAGGGTTAATAATGGTGGGACCTGGCCCAGAATCCCAGGGCATCTCATTTTTGTGGCTCTCCACTGGCCCCAGGCACCATCATGCTCATACGTGAAGGTGGCCTGATATATTCAATGTTTACGAAATCAGAAAATGGTATGTTACTCTCCAAAGACAAAGTCTGTTGGTACGGGTATGCCAGGGTTTTTATGATTAATAAAAAGTGTGAATGTCCTCTCAGATCGTGTACAGATTATCCAGAGAAACACGAAAGCACAGAATAACAGTCTGAGGTTAGCATTTGTCAGATGTAGTTCTTGAAGCCAATATTTTCTCTTAAATGACCTATCTGTGCAATGTTAAAATTGGGCATCTTTCATCAGGCAACTAGGTTAACCAAGAAAAATGGCAGAGGTGGTCTGTCCAGCAATTCACCGAGTTAATGTTTGAAATTTGGTTTCAAAATACAATAAGTTTTTCATTTATTTCACTTGCAGAGTCCTTTTCCTTAAAAAAAAAAAAAAAAAAAAAAAAATCCAGCTTTCGCAGTGTTAAAGTCCCAGGTGAGCTAGGCCTATTTCCCTTTCTGTTACTATGACAACGAAATTTTACCGCAGTCCCAAAGTCCCTTCAGAACTCTCACATCCATGCCTTGAATTAGAACTTTAAAGGAAAAGATATATATTTTTCCCAGGATTTACAAACAAAAATAAGTAGAAATCAACAATGTTTCCAAAAAATTCTATTCTAAAGCCACGGTTGGTGAAATGCTCTCATCACAATGTTCTGACTCTTGTTTTTTGTTTAACAATCGCACAAAAGAATTAGCTCTCCAATTAAATGTATTTATCACTTTAAAAAACTGATGAGGAGATAAACAGTAAATGATAAAGGAGGGGAGAAGGGGAATTGGCTCTTCAGAGTATTTTCTGTATTCCAGCCTCTTTTACTCTGTTTGCTGGAAATATTTGGCCACATGCTCCCATGAATGAGGTTGAGTGTGAATTTGGAAGCAACAGCTAAATATTTTTTTCATGATTTTATAACATCTGCTTTTCCCTTCTCTCTTTCAATCTTTTATAGGGTGGGTGGGAGGTTGGGCTTTGCTTCCTGTGCCCGGGAGGTGTTGGGGTCTTTATGGAAGAGACCTGCGGAAGGACAAGGCAGAGAAAACGTTGTGCGAGGCTCTCCGACCACACTGTTCAAATTCACAACCTGCTGCTGCTCTCTGAAGGGCAGTGGCATCTCTGCCCAGGCCATCAGAGGGCGTTAGAAAGGAGAACTGCTTTTATTTAAGTAAAGATTCATCAGAATTCAAACATTTTATTTCCTGAAGGGTAAACATCCCCTCCATTTGAACACTGGCAGCAGAGTCAGCTGCGGATGCTCACACTGCACGCTAAGGTTGCCTTTTCCCACCCGTGTGTGTTTCTAAACAACAGCCCCCACGGCCACACCACACTGGCCCTCAACCACTCCCAGTGGCAATTTGCAATTTACATTTTCCCCTACTAAACCCGAATAGAGTGCTTTTTCTCATTGACTCCTTGATTTCTGGAAAGTTTTGCCACAACTGGACTCATTGTAATGCGTTCTGCGTGTGTTAGACTACCTCCACTCCCTTCTCCGAAATGCATCTGGTGAAAACATTAATGTTCATGAAGGCATTATTATATGAATGGTGTGGTAGGTGGAAAAGTGCAAAACAGATAATTGTTTACATAAAATCAAATTGATTTAGGCAACCGTATAGCCTGCTGAAAGGCTTTATTCATTTTAAATTAGGACCCTTTACAGTGATTTGAATGGAAAACACCTAGTTTGACTCTTTGCTTGTCTGGGGCGCTGAGTTTGTAACCTACACAGCCCCCTGTACTCTAAGGACTTAGCATTGGGTTCATGAAGGACAAGGGGAGGTTAGTGGGAGGAGGAAAAGCGAAGGTGAGCGAGAGGAGAGAGAAAGAGGCAGAAAGTTCTCTTGCTACTTCTAAATGGCTTGCATCAGAAATTATGGCCTGGATTTTTTAATATATGGATCTACAAATTTATTAAAAGAAATTCTGGGGCTTATTGACATCTCCAATTTTTTTCTCTTCCTTTTACTGGTGTCTTCTGGTTCTCTGCCCTCCACCCTCTCCATCCATCATGCTCAAGGTCTTGAGACAAAACCTTCCCTAACTATACCATCCATTTAGCCACGGGGTAACTTCAGGGAACAAATTCTCACCAAATCCCCTGGGTTTAGATCCCTCGGAAAACAGAGCTGCCTGGAAAATGTCAGCACTCTCCACTAAGAAACGGGAAACCCAAATAAATTATGAGATTTAGACCAAATGTGCGGATTCTCATCAGGATGAATTCTATTTCCACTTTCTCCAAACAACGTTGACGATGTAAATATCATAACCATGGAGCATGCTACACACAACAAAGCTTCTGATCTCTCAAGAGCAAACACGAAAAACCACAGGTTTATCCTTGTGTTATGGACAAAGAGGGTCGGGAGGTGGAGTCAACATGTGAACTCAGACCTTCAGATGGCAGTCTGATCCTGAGGTCAGTGGGGCAGGAGAATGTAACTGCCCCATTGCTTTACTCCACAGATCTGTTGGAAATGCCCCAGGGGTTAACCTTGACCTGCAGCTACCAGCTGACCACGGCACCAAGTTACCTCACATTCTTTATCTCTTAACAAAGGAGTTGAACAGGATCTCTAGGGTTCTTTCTAACATTGATATTTTCTGACTGCAAAGTACAATATGCAGAGTTGAGAACCTTCCAGAAAGGGTTACTTTGGGGAAAGAAACCACTGAAAACAAAAGACAATGACTTATTGAAATCCGAGTGGGTATGGCAGAGGTGGGACTGAGGGTTTCTGAGAGGGAGGTCAAACCCACTGAGATAAAGCTTGAAAAAAATAAATGAGTGAGGACAGCTGATTGGTGGGAAATAGGATATCAGGGATGACGTCATGCTGAGTGGGCGGTGCCCTGAGGCTGATGGGCAGATTGTTGGGTGAGTTGCACTGTCCTGTTAGGACCTTTCTCTCTGCTTCTGAGGCAGGGAGGGTGCTTCAGGAATATCACACATCAGAGCCATGTGTGTCCCCTCTAACCATCTTGCACGTCCAGCAGCTGAAGGGTACAGGGTTCACGGAGCGGAGGGAAACACAGTTTGCTGAGTAGCCACTCTCTGCCTGATACACAACACCACATTTCGTTCTCACAACAACCCCATGACTGACAAATCATCCCACGGCTGGGAAAAACCAAGGCCTCAAGAATTTAAGAAATTTGCCAAAGATCACAAGCTTGTAAGTGGTGGACACAAGGACTGGAGCCTGGATCTTTGTGGCAACGAGTTCCACGTGACATTACATGTTTCCTGCACCAACGACACAGCTGCACAGCTCGGTAAATACAGAGAAACCACCCCATTACACACTTTGAATGGGTGCCTTTTATATTATGTAAGTTATATCTCAATAAATCTGTTTTTTAAAAATCACTTCAGAATGGTCTATAAAGGGCGTGCACGCACACACACACGTAACAGGAATAAATCATGAGAAAAAAAAAAAGTGAAAGATTCTGACTTCTTGAAGAGACTGCCATGTTCCAAGTCGAAATCAGTAGGTCAAAGATAGACAAATGGAAACATGGAAATAAATGCTTCATATTGAAAGCTTCTGCTGAATTCATTTATTTATGCATTTGATCAATATATATTGTGCTCTGTGTGCAAAAAGGTTCAGGCACAGTGGCAAACAAAGTCCTTGGCCCCAAAGATCCCCCAACCAAACTATTCAAATATGTTTCTCCAGCTTCTGAGAAGAGCCTGAAGACCCCTTAATCTATTACTGGGTACCCTCCCCTCCAATCTCTAAAATACTGGAATATTCTGTACTATTCAGGAATGCAGCAAACGTGTCTAAGTGGCTTCCACATGTCTTCCCCCATCCCACCCATCTCAAACTAGATTCACAAATACAGTGCAGAGTTAAGGTTCAGCGGTGGGGGACAGGAGGCCTGAAATCACAGGAAACGTAACTACTTAATATTCTTGCCAGACACTGGAATTCTCACCAATGGTCTGACTACCACAAAACCCAGCAGAATATTTCTCCAGGATTTATGGAAGAGGCCATTCAATTTACCTCCAAATTGGAATGTAAGATCTAGTCCCTCCTTAAAATGTTTAACACAAGAAAAGTCTATAAGGCCAGGTGCAGTGGCTCACCTCTGTAATCCCAGCATTTTGGGAGGGCAAGGCAGGTGGATCATGAGGTCAGGAGTTAGAGACCAGCCTGCCCAACATAGTGAAACCCCATTTCTATTAAAACTACAAAAAATTACCCGGGTGTGGTGGCGGGCACCTGTAATCCCAGCTACTCAGGAGGCTGAGCAGGAGAATCACTTGAACCCAGGAGGCAGAGGCTGCAGTAAGCCAAGACTGTGCCATTACACTCCAGCCTGGGTCCATCTCAAAACTAAAACAAACAAAAAAATTAGACAAGAATGCACATCAAAGGAATGTGAACTTAGCAGTAGTTAACAGCAACCATTATACAGAGTCTCACTGTATACCAAATAATATGCAAAATGCCTTTCACTTTGAAAACTTAGTTCCTTACTTCCCTAAAATGAATCTAATTCTGCCTACCCTG